CCTGCTGAGAAAAACAGTAAATCTTGAAGGTGGGAATCCCTGATACTCTCACCATTTTTTGCTTCAATACAGCTGGAGTGCCCCACACCCCCCGGTTGAACCGCTGCTCCTCGCTGGCAGAGCGCTGCGGGTGCATGGCGCGGCGGGCTTGGTGGGGCTGTGTCACTGGGCCGTTCCACACCGTTTATCTGCCTGGTTGTGCTTTGGAAAATAGAACTAGCACTCTGAAATATCCCAGGTTGTTACGTCTGAGTGTGCTGAGTAAAGGGAAGGCTTAGGGGTTGGCTCTTGGAGCTGCAGAGCTTGGCTCGTCATCATCAGAACGTGTAGTGCTGCGCTGTCAAGGATTTAAAAACTGCTCTACAGGTCTGATTTAAGGAATTAAACAGACATTCCATTCCCATCCTTTTAGTTTACGTCCTCATTTTGTCCATTACCTTAATGTGTGATAATTTCCTGGGAAAACAAATGAAGTCAGGACAGACAGGACCCTCCCGAGAAATGAGAGCCCCACGTCGCTATTACGTGTTGAAATTAAGCAAACAACAGCCCTACGAGTAGTACCAAAGGCTGGAACAAAAGCAGTTGCTTCTTGTCACTTCAGAACGGTCTGCGCCGCGTGTGGACACGATGAGAACGTGTAGCAGGAGGGAAACTCGGCCCCTGGTTTATCGGTGCAGCGTCAAAGTGCCTCGTGACTTACGGATAGACGGGACCTTTGCAAAGCCGCTGTGATGTGCAGTTGTGCGCCAGGTTTGGGTATGGGTGTGTTACCGTCCCGGTTTTTGGTTCATTTGCTTTTGTTTTTTTTAAATGGCCACTTATGGATTAGGCGGTTGCTCCCAGTTGCCGGTTGTGTAATTGTGCATCCAAGTCAGGCGTTTGTTTGTGCCTTCATTTCTTCCCTTTTTTATACTGTGTCCCTGAGCTACTTTGGTTTCTAAATTCAGGCCTTACATATTTATCTGTGCCATTCAATTAGACCACATCCCCAATGCTGCTATATAGTTTCACAGTATGTGGGAAATTTGGTAATTAAATGCATGCAAATGCTGCAAGAATAGAATAAATTAATTTTTGCTTAATATCATCAGGCTATTCTGTGATGGTTCTTGAGATAATGTGACCAAGATACGGGCTTTTCTTTCCCCCTCTTGCCATCTGTTTTGGGCCTTTGTTGGTATTACTTTAGAAATACCTGGTCGAGATTACATGAAAAGAACCCCAGCCTGGGCTGTGCTGCGTAGTTACGTAAGAGGGGAGATCTACACTTAAGTTTTTTAGATCTCCAAATAAAACCTAAGATGGAAACAGCGCTTCAGTTCTCCAGGTGTGGTGCAGCTTTAGATTTGCATGTGAATCGGAGCCCTCAGAAAGTGTGTAAATGGCAATGTCACAGCTCGAGTGAGGCAGCTGCAAGGAAAACCTGGAATCCCTGGGAAGGATGCTTTGCACTAGATGTTCTGGCGTTTGGAAAGGCCCCAGGTACTGTGGGATCTCCAGATGTTGTTAAGAAAAGGACTCCCTTATTTCTGTGCTGCACTTATGCGTGGAGTCCACCGCAATCCACAGAAAGTTGGGATTCTCCGTTTCGGAGCGTGCCTGTGGCTGAGGCTGGGCAAACGTGTCCCGGCTCGTCCTGATGGATGGGAGCGTGCCTGCCTCCGTGCCGGTGGTGTCTGGCTGCTGCGAACTCTTCCCACGTGAATACTGTACAGTCTTCAAAGCCAGGGGTTGTGAAGACCATCGGTGGCCAACATCATGCTAAAATAGCTGAATTTTAACAATTCAGTCCTATATCATAGTTTTCAAGGAATTTGAAAGTCATTGTGCTTTCAGAAATTCCAAATCTTTAATATGTATCTCGATGCTGTGTGCGTGTCAGCTTAAAAGATCTGACCTGACCGTGGATCTTTTTTCCTTACTGAAGGGACCTTATCCCGCATAGCTTTTGGATTCTTTCTGTGCCGTCTACTCGCGGTTATTTTACCTTTCCTCTTGAATTTGTTGCCGCTTTGGTGTTCAGGTTCCTCCCTGAAGTGCCAAGCCATGTCAGGGCTGGGTTGTATTCCAGCCTGCAGTACTGCAGTGCTGTTGCATCAGTTCAGGGTTTCTGTAATTCCTCTCCTCTCTTGGCCTCCTCTGGGAGTGGGAAAAGCTTGAAGAGGTACCGGCAGCTCCAAATGCAATATATTCTTGTTGCTGGTTCTCGAGCGAGTGCTTGGCAAAAGGTGCAAAGCTGCAGAGGGTTTGTAGGCGGCTGGATTCAGCTGAACGAACTTCCTCGCAGCTCCTCTCTCTTGTGGGAGTGGGGGGAAGAGAGCGCGGTGCTCTTTGGAGGGACAGTGCGAAGCCCTGTCCGAGGTCTGTGCTCCCGCGCAGGCTGGAAGCTCTGCGAGGTCTTCCTCAGCTGTGCTTCTGTACCTCGCCCACCTCCCTTCTCTTCAGTTTTTGTCCTGGAGAGGTGCGGATTTGCATTCCGTATGATGCAAAGAAGACTCTGTGTTCTAACCCGCATATTATAGGCCTTTAACTTTCAGAGGTTGCTGTTGTCCTTGATGAAAGTCTTTTAAAATTATTTCATTCTTAGGGCCTGAAATGAACAGAGACCCTGATCATTATCTATGTGTAAAATGACAGGGTGAGAATTGACTTCCCGCAGTAGAGAAGTGGCGTGTGCCGGGGGAGGAAGGGCTGAGCCCGCTGGGCGCTCGGTCCTGCCTGCAGAAGCGTTCGGGGCCCTCCCTGGCCCACGCTGGAGTCACCAAGGAAACTGCTCCCGAACCGCCATAATGTCCCACAGGACACGAAGGAGCATTTTTTGTCAAAAGAGCTCAGCCTGTTCCCTGTTGGCTGCTGCTCTCGTACACCCAGCCCCGGGTTACTCCTCCTTCGCCTCGTGCTTCGCTGAATGCCTCGGTAGCGGGCGAGGGGTGAGCTAACACCCGGCCCCGGCCGGGTGAGGCTGAACACCTTGGCCCGGCCCCGGCAGGAGAGCAGACTTGGAGTTTTTGTCTAATAATCAATTTGCTAGAGAGCAATGGTAGAATCATTTTTGCAGGAAAATACTGGTTTTGATAAAGCTGCTTTTCAGCAGGGTTTAGTTAGTCTGGGGTGGAGTTTGTGTGCAGGAGACGCCCCGATCCGGGCGGCCGCCAGCGGGGAGGGTTGGCGGGCAGGGACGGGCAGGGTCACCCGTGTCCAGCACTGGGCGCCTCTGCCTGTAGCTCGTGTTGGGACCGAAAAGCAGCAGGTCTGCTTGCCCGGCCCCGTGAGGGCTCGAAGACCAGGGTTGCTTTTGGATCCCAACGCTCTGTGCTTGCCCGTCGGGTTTTGCGGTGACTGACTTTGTTCTGCCTGTGCTGTTTGCTCCCCTGCAGAGCTGACCTGTCCGGGGCGCAACATCACTAAAGAAGCTGCTGCAGGATGAAAAGATGGCAGCACGGCTGCTCGCACCACCAGGCCCTGATAGTTTTAAACCCTTCACTCCGGAGTCTCTGGCTAACATTGAGAAACACATCGCAGAATTAAAAAAGAAGCAGCGGCCAAAGCAAGACAGCAGCCACCGGGATGACGATGAAGACAGCAAACCAAAACCAAACAGTGACCTTGAGGCGGGGAAGAATTTGCCTTTCATCTACGGGGACATCCCAAAAGGCCTGGTTGCTGTACCACTGGAGGACTTTGACCCTTATTACATGACCCAGAAAGTGAGTCTGCAAGAAAGAAGTCGCTAAACCGCCTTTTTTCTTAGGAAATTGCAGGTTTGGGTATGGTTTAAGTAGAAGACAAAGAATGGAGTCTTTGGATGGGGCTTGTTTGTTTTGTGGTGTATCTTTCTTTGAGGTTTAATACAGATTTTATGATCAATCTTTAAGCACCTGCTTGGATGGAGTTAGGAGAACAAGGTCTGGAAACTAAAAATAAATAAAGGTGTGCTAATGTGACAATTTTAACCATGAGGGCAACAAGAAGAATTTAATTGAGGGGTAATGGTTTTAAGTGTGTATTTCATTAGTTGCATGGAACGCCATCTGAATTTGATTGTTATGAAGCAATGGGATATAGAATCATAACAAAAAAGATGTGAGAACAAATAATTAACTTGCTTTCATCTTCATAATTCTTATTTTTAAAATATATTTGACTGTGGAATTAAGATGATATGGCAGGAGGCATTTATGGGTGCCGAGATGTATTAAGAAATGCAGTGGTGTCATGAGGGAAGTGGTGAGTAAGCAAACACTATGCTGGAAATGGAGGGGAGGGATCTTCTACTGGTGGAATAAGGAGACCGTGGTCACTGATTTCCTTAGAAGGCTGTGTGACTTAAAACTGGGGTTCTTTTCTACTGTTTAATTTTATTGCTTTCTTTGTTAGAAAATTAATTTGAATACACTGAGATAATTACCACCTATAACTCTGGCTTAGCTGTGCTGCTTGCGAAGCTGGAGGTTTGACCATGTGTGTGTCAACAGTTGTGATGTGACCGTTCAAAACGTGGGTGGAACGGCTCTCGCGTAGAATCAGTAAGTTGTCACGGGTAGTACAATGTCTTACGACTTTGTGTTGGGGCAGACATTTCTTGCCACACTCGGAAGTGATTCTGTGACGGGCAGGGCGCTGTTCACGTGAATTCAACTGAACTTTCTGCTGGCGTTGGGTATGACTTCTCTGCATTTACGCCGGTGAATGTAATGCTTATTTGTTGTGGCAGTGGTGCCAGGAGGACAGGTACCAACCCAGAACAGGGCTTTGAAGTGCGGTGATTTGTCTGTGTGTTGAATCCTGGGCAGACTGGTGTTTGGTGGATGTTGTGCCTAAGGAAATGTATTGACAGCTGCTGAGAAGGTAGCTTGCCTTATCCCCCAGAAATACTTTCTGTTTATTAAGCAACTATTTTCTCTTTGTTAAACGAATCTGGTGTTGCCTGGTTTTGGTGTGGGCAGCCGAGAGAGACGCGTAGCTGAAGAGCAGTTCCCAGGATCTCTTTGGCTGTGTGTGGCCGCTCGCGCCCCACCGAGGCAGGTGGGGTTACGAAATGTCGTTGCAAATCCAAGCAGGAGTGTTTTGTGCCCCTGCTGGGTTCGTGTAGTTGGAGGGACAGTGTATGAGGGAGAACTGGGCCGTGTTCTTTCTAGCTAAAATGGGAGGGCAGTGCTGAAAGGGCAGAGGGCACTGCCGTGTCCGGGAGCACTGGGCAAAGGCTTCTTCGTTGTCTCAGTGCTCCACCAGAAGTCGGAGGCAGAGGGGAACCCCGTTAGCCCTCACGCTTTATCAGTCTCCATATTTGCCTCCCAACGCGATGCTATTAATAAATCTTTCATTTTTAGAGAAAAATAAGCCACATTCCCAACTTGGAAGGCATCTGTCTTGTCTCCCGAAGAGCGCCGTACGGTTCTGCATGTAGCCGCTCGCAGAGTTGCTGCTGGCTGGGTGTGCCTGCGTGCGGGGATGCGAGCTCTCCCCGGAGCTGGAGCAGCTGCAGATGGAGGGGAAGGTTCTGGAGACAGGAGACAAAACTCGCGCAGCCCTGCCAACCTCGTACTTGCTGTTCTGTGAAAAAACCTCTTCCCATAACCACTGGATTCACGTTTTACCGACTGTTTCTTTTGCATCTGCTTCAGTATGGCGATAGCTTCGGTGCGTGCTACTTCTTTGTCGCTTCAAATAGTCAGTGACTTCCCACAAAGATTTTTTTTTTTTTAAGGCCATTAAAAAAGGCCCTTCTCTGAATCATCAGGAATTGCGAATCTGCTTGAATCATGGGAAGTTTTCCAAGATTTTTTTTTTTTTTTCCTCTCCAGCATTTGCCAGAAGGCTTTGCATCATAGGTCTTTTCTTTTAAAGCTAGACATACAGCACGCATAGGAACAAATTAGCTGCTTGCTTTTCCTTGCAGTAGGACACAGTGATCTTGGTTTATCTAAGGAAACTGCAACTGCATTTTAACTGAGAAGCTGAACTTTCCAGTGGCCTGTTAACTGATATTTAAAGGAGAAACAGTGTGACCTAGAAACAGCACCATGGTGCAGGGAGTCAAAACCCCTGGGTTCGGAGCCCAGCCCTGCAAGCGATGGTTTTGTCCGAGCTACTTCTCTTTGCTCAGTTTTGTTTTGCAAAATGGGAGTAGTGACTCTTAGGAGAATCGGGAAAGTCCCTTTGCTCACAGGTAGCAGATATTGGAGCCAGTTTAGCTCCTCTTTGTCTTTATGTAAGTACCAGAGAGAATTTTTTAGTGATTCTTTGTTTTGCAGAGAGTACTCACCTTCCAATTTGTGACCTGAAGCACATGGCAGAAGGAATACTTGTCCATGATATTTGTTGTGGAAACCTGAAACGCTTCAATTAAAAAAACTCACAAGGCAGGTACATGAACTTCCTTGGCTACATGTGCAAACAAAATTCAGGAAAGCTGCCTGTGTGAGCATCCCTAGCGATGAGAACAAAGCAGCTGATCACCTCGTAGTCTTCTCTTCCTTCAGTGTTTGCTTAAGCAAGCAGTAAGGACCATCATCCTCTTCTATTTCCTCAACCTGATTAGTATTTCTATTTTTTAATGGTTTTCCATCTTTTAGACCTCTCTCTCCTTCTCTTTCATTTGCGGCCTAGGCTGTCACTCCTACTGAACACCACCTCACCCTGTTCTTTCCCATTGAACGTGACTTTTGCCAGGTTGTGGTCGTTTTCCTCGGGTAACTTCCATTTCACTCGATGTGAATCTCATACTTGCTACAGAACAAGGTAAAGCTGATAATGCTCCTGCAATGGCTCCATTTAGAAGGTCCCTGAATATTCTGGGAATTGAGAACATGTATAAGCTTAGGTGGATTCTTTTCAGTGGAAAACTGAACCCTGCAGTTGTAGAAAGCTGCCTCTACATCCGTGACCATCTGAGGTGAGAGTGGGATTGTCCGAGGTCACCTATAGCTTGCAGATGAGCACCTGAGGATCTTTCCAGTGCGTATGTGCCAATGGAGTGACTTGCAACTTCGTCAAGTCACATGCACCGTTTGGAAATGGGCCCTCCGGTCCAGAATGTCACCTTGGCTGCGTGGACCTGGGAAAATTACAGGGATGTGAGAGACCAGCTTGCGGGAGGCACGTCTGGCTCTAGCATGTGCTTCAAGGAGCCTTCGCTTCTGACTCCTGTAGGGCAAGGTGAAGGCCGTGCAAGGACACGGACCCCTTAATGGGGTTTGCATTTGAGTGAAGTCATGGAAAGGGAGGGAAGAATCGGGACCATCTCAAAAAATCAGCCTTTTATCCTTATTTCCAAAAGCTAGTTACCTCTTCCAGGTCTTACGTGTTTAATGTTGTTTTTTTCTTCCGCTCCATCTCTCCGGTAGGCTTAAAAGGAGCAGGAAAAGTAAGCGTGCCCTTCCTAGCTGTCTTCCCTGCTGCCATGATAGCATGAAGAAAGGAGAGTGTAATCCCTGTCAGGCGTCTTCTCCAGCCCCTTCTGGGTGTTGGGAGGAAGGGAAAGTGTAACGGAGTCCTTTGCTGTTGTACGGCTGTGGAGGAGACGGCAGGTAACGGTGCTGCTTGCTCCAGCCCCGAGCGTTGCCGTAGCACGTAGAGCTTCCGTGCTGTGATCAGGGTCTGCCGCGTGTGGCACGGACCGGGAGGCAAGAGAATCTCTGCTGCAGTCACCTAAATAGCTGCAGCCCACTGGTGGTGAGTGGAAGGAGGGAGAAGCATTTCCGCTGCTGAGGCAGAATGGATTTCCTTACTTAGACAAAGCGCAATGTTGTTAAAACTTAAATCCGGATCGGTGTTGGACAATGTTTATTTTTTAAAACATGTCTTTCAGGGATGTTTTAGTTGGTAAATTTCAAAAACTGTCAAGGGTTTTTTCCTATAATGAGCTTGAAATGAGATTAAAGCAAGAGCAAAATGTGGCAGATACTTTTCAATGGTGAAGAGTAAGTTGCTAAGAAAGAATAAATTTGTCCCCTTTTGAGGGGGATGGAAAAATAAATATTAAATCATGTGCTTTCTGTATGAGGCAGTACAGCTCTGTGAGCCAAAACAGACTTGAAAAATACTTTGCATTGACGTTTAATTCTGTATATAAGTCTTCAGCCTACAGGGTGCCAGAGTTCCCTGTAAATTAATTTTGAAAATAGCTGTGTTAAGGTAACTTGCTCGGGGTGTCATCGGAAAGTCGTCGCTCTCTCTTGCTTAGCATCGAGTGAGGCAGCCATCGGTTACCGCTGTAGGAATATGGTTCCATATGTTCTTAGGCTGTTCATAAAGCTGTTTTCTTCTTCCATCTTCTGCCCACTCCTCCTCACTTTTCAGCCATTACAGGAGTGCTTAATGTAAAACCTGCATGCAGCAAGAGTATTTTAAATCTTCATGTAACTGGAATGCTTTTTGCCATCACTTGATCGATGCTGTCACGCGCTCCAGCAGAGCTTCTTGAGTGCGCTAGTTTGCAAAATGATTTAGAGAAGACTGGTCTTTTGTGATCTTACTTCTTTCCATGAGAGAGCTGTTTCTAAGGTTTCTGTACAGTGTAGATTCCCAGCCAGCTTTAAGGAAACTAAAGTGGACAGAGCCTTTTCCACAGCTCTCTAACAACAAACCGAGACTTTTGAAAGTTCAGCCAGGCTTCATCTTGTAGAAGGCGACTGCAAAATGCCTTTCTGTGGCTATCACCTTTCTCTGAGTTTTGAGCATTGCCTCAGCAGATCTTAAAAGGGCTTGAGGATGTTCTTGGACGTGACCCAGCAAAGATTTTAAGAGCATGCAGCCATTTTGAAATTGAGTTTTAATATGTCAGCAGCATAAAGAAAAACTAAGATAAGGTTTTAAATTGCCAAACACTTTTTGGCTTTTGTGCTCTTCTTTCTATTGACAAGGCCAAGAGGGGATTTACCCAGGATTTTGTAAGACCCACAGGGGAGCTGGAGCAGCGGATCTTGGACCCAACGGAATCAATGAGCAGGCTGGGATGTACTGCACCGTGTTTGTGTTACGGTTGTACGGAGAGGCCCAGTTATGGTGGGCTTTATGGACGGGAATAATTTCGGCAGGCATTACGGTCTGAAAAGAGGAGGCTGGGCAGAGCACGGAAGAGTAAACAAGGAGCTGCCTTGTGTCAGGTCGTGTCATAGATGAAGGGCTAAGCTGGCAAGCAGAACGTGGCGTTCATGTTTGGTGGGCAGTTGCCCTGATCGTTGGATGAAACGGCTTAGGTTACAACCGGGAATGCCAAATTTCTGGGTCGATCCTCGTGAAGGAGCTATTGAAAATGTCTGTTCCCGTGTCATCGCCGCAGCGTGCCGAGGCAAGCGCCCTGACCCTCCCTACGGAGCGGCTTACAGCCACCCCCCCGCTGAGCCCGGCTTGTTCTTCTCGTGCAGGTCCAAAGGCGCTGGGTGGTTTCCATCTGTGAAGCAGCACGCACGTACCTGTGCCGCCGTGTGAAAAGCGGGTTTATTGCTGCCTTGCTGAGCCGCATCTGAGCAAACCGTAGGGCTCCGGCACAGGCATTTTCCCTGTGTAAAACGGAGGCGTAATGAAACTGAGCCGCCTCACAGAACCACTGCATGGGGTTTGGGGGGAATTTCTGTCTTTGTCCGGCTCACCTTGTGCCCACGTAATGTTCAGCACAGTCACGTTGGAGATTTCAGTGCTTAAAACATGTGGTAGAGTTGAGAGCTCAGTGTTTGAGGGACACGACTGAAGCCCGTGAGCGTCCCGGTGTGATGGGGGTCCCGCTCTGAAGCCTCTGCAGGGGACAATGAAAGAAGATCCAAAAATGAGTGGTACGTGAGTCTCGGAAAGTTTGTGGTGTCAGGGAAGGAGAGACAGCTGGTTCTGAAAATCGGGCGTCCCTTGACCACTCTGTAATCTGCAGTTTTGGAAAACTTATGGTCCTTTAGAATGTTGTTACATGCCAAGGTAATCTGTTCATTAATTCTTGATGCTGCTATTTAAGAGCTGTCCAGGGTTGTCTTTAAAGTGCTTTTGTTGAGGGATGCATTAGTGGCTGTGCTAACTAATCTTTCTCACTCAGAGCTGAACCACAATCTGATTTTGATTTCCTTTTCCAATAATTTGCCGCTCAGTGGTCTAATTTAGCCAAATGAGCTAAAATACGTTGTTTCACTTACTAGGAGGGAAATGACAAATTTCATAAGAGCGAGTCTCCTGGGGAAGCACAGTGACTGCGTTGGCAGAAAGCCCTCGTGGATTCCCTTGTGTTGGACTCCGGGAGGCTCGGGGCTGTGCCAAACGGTGGGCTGGTGCCGGGGAGCGAGCCTGCAGCGAGGCCGGCTTTGCTCTGTCCCCCTGCAGCGGGCTGGGTTCAGCCTCCTCCCTGCTGCCGCGGCGTCCCGGAGGGAATGGGAAATGGGAAAAGGGTGCCAGGGAAAGGGCTTTGGCTTTTCGGTGTGCGCAGATTCCTTTTTTTCCTCCAAGCGGTAGGTGCATTGAGCGTGCTGGTATTAAGCACCCGCAGTTCTAATTTTGCCTCGCCAGATGGCTGCGTGTGATTCTCCCGGTGCTTTTTGATATGCGTGTTCGCCAGCGGGGAGATGAAATAGCGGGTCTGTATTTTAAGGCTGGGGATGGAGAGATGAGATCGATTCTGCCTCACGTTTACGTGATTCATTCCACAGGTTCTGTATAAAGTAGCGAACCTTAACATCGCGCTCCTTAAAGGCAGCGGGAGCACATGACTGCCGGGAGTTGGTGCAGCAACGTGGCGTGTGCTCAAGATTGCCAAGGAGTGGGGACGACGGGTGTCTGACTTGGGTCTGCTGCGGGGGGCGGGGGGGGTGACTCTACCATGGCATTTGCTTTCTGCTTACCTGTCCATCTTCCTTTGCAGGTGAGGTGCTGTCTTGTAAAACCACGGTTCGTTGTGGTAGCTGTTAGCGAGGTGTGGGAAGGAGGCACAGGCTCCCCGAACACTGTGCTGTAAAGATGGGGCTTGTGCGCTGGCCTGAAGCCTGGGTTCAGCTGCCGGTTCTGCTCCCAAAGTTGTGGTCCTTGGTTGCGTTGGGCCTCGGTTCTTTTCTGTTAGACAGGGATAACGGGGAGAATGTGCGCTCTTGGATGGGAGGTTTCGCTTCTGCTCCATCTGAGGTGCCTAGTAAAATGGAAGGTTTGGAGTAGAATTATTCATGACGTACTGGTAGGTATGGTGTACCCTTCATAAAGGAGCTTATTCTTTAAAAAAGCAGAAAATGCTATTTTTTACCATGGAAGTTGTTCGTCTTTTTTTGTTCATGCTTTGATTTTCATGCATTAACTCTCTCTCTCTCTCTCTCTTTCTTTCTTTGTTTCTCTACAGACCTTTGTAGTACTAAACAGAGGGAAATTTTTTTTAGTGCCACACCTGCCTTGTACATTTTAAGTCCTTTTAATCTGTTTAGAAGAATAGCTATTAAAATTTTGATACATTCATATCCTTTTTATTACTGAGTTATTTTTGCCTTTGTATATTCGTTGAAAAAGCTCTTACCTGTTGTCTTACTGCTCAATGCAAATAGTGTAAGTGAATGATGGTTCTGCACCTGGTGGAGTTGGATTGGCCTCAGAGCACACACAAAGCCGTGTTTCTTCTGAATGAAAAAGCACAGTCCTTTAGACACATCCCATCAAGTAAACTTTTAGTTTGTTTTCCCCGTCTAAATTGTACCTGTCCGTTCTTCCCCCAGTGCGCAGACATTGAGAAGTTTTGGAACAGAGATGATTGAAGGTTGTGCTTCACACGAGGAGGAGTTGAGCTTTAACTAGCCACTAAAATGGTTAAATAGGATTAGTATCTGGAGAAGGAGCCAAAGGTACCTTATATGTAATTAGACACTGACAAATTTTTGCTCTTCTGGCATCTCTCAAACTTCCTGCTAATGGCGAGGCTATTCCAAAACGTTCCACTGCAGGGCTTCAGACAGCTCCGATCGCTTCGGAAACATCGTCTGCATGTGGTATAGGGGAGAGAGAGGAAAAAAAAAGGAGAATATTGAAAGAGCTGCTTTGCCCTGTTTATTTATTTATTTTTAGAAAGTGACTCTGAAAGGGAAACGCATTCATTTGTTGGTTTAGAGGCTTCTGCATGCTCGCTTCCTGCATCTCATATGAAGGAAAAGCTTTTCCATCTTTTCAAAGTCAACTTGGGATCTGAGGCTGGGAACGTTCTCTTTGCCTTTTGTGTTATTTCTCGTAGAGTTCCCTCCCCTCTGGCTGTGCTGGGACGCAGCTGAGAGGCGCAGGTCTGTCAGGGGGAGACCGAGATGCTGGCAGTGGATCTTGGGTCTTGACCGAAGATCCCTTTGAGTCTGCTTAAACAGTTTTGGAAGTCAAACAGCTTTAGATCTGACCCTGGATTTCACCATTCTGCTAATAGTTCAGGAGTTAAAATCCACTCAAACTTCTAATTCTGAAATTGTGCTGTCCCTGCAACGCTCCTCGAATCAGTTGGGCCAGAACCTTCCAGCTGCCAACATGACACACGAGATCCTGAACACACAGAGGGAGCAGAGACATTTGGAAAGATTTGTGAGGTTTTCTCCAAGCTAAATCCCAGGTCCATGGATTGCAACACTGCTTTCCTGTTGGATATATTAGCAGACGATATATTTTGATGTTACTGAATAGATGCAATTATATGGGGAGACATTTTCATTTAGGCGTGTGATTTTTGACTTGCTAAGACATACCAGAAAATCTAAAATAACTTGAATGGTGACGTAAAAATACTATTTATGTATAGTCACCCTGGTCTTATTCCCCATGCTTGCTGGAAGCATCTTGGCTCTTATTTGTAATCCACAGAGAATAGACTGGAAATCGTTGTTGAACTTTGTTGCAGTACAGTGATCTTTAGGGAGCTATAGGGGGATGTAAAGAGCTACACTAGTGTCACTTGATCCTTGACTTTGTTCTACAGTATTTAGCATGATCATTATGTGCACTATTTTGACCAACTGTGTATTCATGACTTTTAGTAACCCACCTGAATGGTCGAAGAATGTGGAGTAAGTAATGCTTTTGTGTTTTGAAGAATCCCACAGCATGTTGGTTTTCTTCTGTCGAGAAATCTGTTCCTGCTCCTGTTTAAGCCAGCACGAGCACAAGTCGTCTCTTATATCCACTTTGTTTAGACAAAAGTGTTTGTAATTCATCTTTTTTTCATGACTAAAATGACATTTCTGCAAACTTCTCAGTGCGGCTCTCTCTCTCTCCCTCATAACAGGTATACATTCACTGGTATTTATACATTTGAATCACTTGTGAAAATTATTGCAAGAGGTTTCTGTATAGATGGCTTTACTTTCCTACGTGATCCATGGAACTGGCTAGATTTCAGTGTGATCATGATGGCGTAAGTTGTGTTTTCAGATTATTTCAGGTATTTGTGGCATACGGGAGGGGATGACACCTTAGGAGGAGGGTGGGTGCGTAAGGAAAAAAACAAATCAAGGAAAACTTAAGTGAATCCCCACGAGATTTCTTTCTCGATTTTTCAAAAGAAAGCTTTAGCCTGACATGGAGTCCCAGATGTAAAATGCAACTCCGTGGAGCTGCTGCTGCAAAAAAGATGATTTTCTGAAAACTACCTTTATTAATATAAGACTTTATAATAGTGCCTGGTGGTTTAGATTGCTCACGTGCCCGAGTGGCAGCTTGTCCTCTTAAGCAGAGGACGAGGAGCCAAATGTCTTTAAATTCGAGGCTCTACCCCTCCCTCCGTCCTTGGGCTTGCATGTTAAAATGTCCTGGGATGCGACTTTAGGTTGAACAGTTCTTAACCCATTTCCCATGAAGATGCAGTGTCGGAAAAGGAGACACTTTATTTTCCTTCCTCACTCTTTTCTCTTCTGCCCGATCAGCTTACATTGGTCTGGTAATGAGGAGTTCATGGGGATGTCTCAGTTCACAGCTGAACCAGGAGCTGCACGCTAGATTTCTGGGTTTTTTCCTTATTGGCCTGCGCTGATCGTTGCTTAGGCTTAGTGCCGCTGAGGAACCCGGGTGTGTGTCACTGGTAGTCTGAGTCGCCGGTGGAAGAGATTTATTTTTTTCCCTTTTAAATTTGTTTTTGGAATATTGCACGTGTGCGTGTTTGGGCTCCTATAGTCAACAATGGCCAATGAAATCTGGGGGATCTTGTAGGAAGGCTCAGGATCCTCGTCTTCAAGGGTTCAGAGCACTTGAATTTAATCGTAGTAAAACGCTTTAATTGCATAAAATGCCCTTTTTTTGGCTGGATTCTGCACCCAAGGTGGTTGACGTTCCTGTGTTTCTGCTCTTTTTCTACTTGCCTTTAGTTGTGTATTTAAATTATATGCAAAGAGTTGGACATTGTACACAAAAGGCGAATAACCAGTAGCTCACTTGAGTTTTACTTTGGAAGAGATGGGGCTGTGCTGTGCCCAGTGTAAACCCACCCGTGTGGGTGAGGCTCCCAGTTCTGTGCACACAGACCGGATTCGACCTGTGAATTGGTTATTTCCTTTGTTTCTCGATAAATTAACAGCTCTAAAAGGCCCCATGCACTGGTCTTAAATAAATGTGCTAAATCTCTGGCTGATGTAACTCGGTAACCTCCTTATTTCCAGTGAGGTTGCTGGGGACATCAGATGCCATCCTTGTTTGTGTCAAGGGCTAGAGCAACCCTGTGCGTTAGTTAAATCCCACTAATAAGTTCTAAGTTTTATGAAGCACTTCAGGCCTTTCTGCACCAGGAAGAATCTTGAATATTGTGCATTTCTTGGCTTTTTCATACCGTGTTTCTCCCCAGCCAGCCCGGAGGAAATACTCTGTTCTAAGCTGTGATAAAATTTAACTCCGTTAACCTTGCGCTGAGCCTCGTATCCTCTGTGTATCTCAGGTTTATCGCCTTGTAAAACAGGGATAATCCTACCTACCTGTGGCTCACGAACGGGTGGTAAAGCGTAAAGGAATAAAATGAAGGATGCTAATCAAAGCGAAAGATGGTCATGCTTAATTAAAAACATGAAGTGAAGTGAATATTCCTGAAACCACTGAACTGACGTGGTGTCACCAAGTCTCCTCGCATATTTGACAGATAGCATTAAATTTTCAAGTCCTATATAGGCGAGAATGCAAGTGTCTAACCGTGCACCTGGACAAGCTGGTTGCGGTGTGGAGAGACTTAAACTGTGTTTTGGCTCTGAAATATTCTGTCTCTCTCTCTAAGTGCCAGTTCTAAAACATTTTAAATTACAAGCTGTTTCCTACAAACAGACAACTATATGAAAAGGAAGGTGACCCCAACGGTGCCATTAACTCTGGTTTAATTCTGCAGGTATATAACAGAGTTTGTAAACCTAGGCAATGTTTCAGCTCTGCGCACTTTCAGGGTTCTGAGAGCTTTGAAAACTATTTCTGTAATTCCAGGTAAGGCGGCCTCCGGTTGGTGTTAGCTGTTGGGTACAGGCCCCTGTGAGTGATGTATTGCTTTGTCTGTAGTTGTTGTTTTATTTTGGTGTGTGTATTGTCATTGTGTTTTTTGTGTGTGACCTCCCTCATTGCAGATATGTCACAGAGTTTGTGGACCTTGGGAATGTCTCAGCATTGAGAACTTTCAGAGTTCTCCGAGCTTTGAAAACTATCTCTGTTATTCCAGGTGAGAACCATTCAGCATTAAAGGCTGGTCTTGCGTGTATCTCTCTTCCATATCTCCCCTCCTGTCCTGCATTGCTTATTTCCCAGAAATGGCACTGGGATATTTTTGATGGGCTTTGCAGTCTGTGTAAACAGAGTAGTTTGAAATTAAGGCTTGTGGGCCTTCCAATTGTGGGACGAACAGTCTGCTGTTCCGTACTTCTTTATCCCTGTGTGCACATGTGGCTATCCCATCTCCAAAACGAAAGCCAGGCCTAAAGTTTAGTTCCAGGTGGATAAAGAATCAGACACTCCCTCCCTTCTCGGGCTGAAGAGCTTCTCGCTCAGCGAGTCATCCCGTTATCGTCAGTGTTTGTAGAGCTGGTTTAGCAATAAGTTTGTAAAGCGAGCGAGCAAAACCCAACCAAGAGTAAAACCTTTCTGCGTGAGGCTACTTCAGTTACCTGGAGTCAGGTGGGATCTGGGGCAGGTTGTCTTCTAGGCAGTGGCAAAGCTCTTGCCTCCCCGTCTTCAGAAAGGGCTCATGCTGCCTTTTGGAGGTAGACTAAGCCAAAGGGAGCGTTGGCATTACCAGCTTTTGCGTTTGTATGTTGTAGTGGAACCGGTTGTCAGCTGTTAATGCAATGGTGTGTGGCCAAAGGACTGACTGCGCTTCCAGCAAGCCAGAAGTCCCGATTCACAGACCTGCCCGTCTCACGTGCCACCCCCAGAGCTGGACTTTGCCGGACTGTCAGTTATAGAGCTACTTCTAGACTCTTAACTCAGTCTGGGTGTCAAACGGTCAGCAATGGCCCTTCCTTTATTGTAAGAGGCCACGGAGCCGTTATGGACTGAGAATACGATTCTCATCCTGAATTCTTGTATAGAAAAGTCTCGTCCAGGTGGTTTCTCAAAAGTGTCCCTAATCTTAAGGTCAAGCTCAAGACTCAGTTCTCACTGGCACTGAAGCGTCTGTAGGTGCTTGACCTGTCTCAAGGTAGACACCCTGAATAGTCACTTGATGACTTTTGGACTTCTATTTCTTTGCCTCTTGTTTCCTAATGCATTAACTGACCATGGTTCTTTTGCTTTCTCAGGCTGCACTTGCATATACGTTTGCCAGAAAAGAGACTATGGAATTGTAGGGGCCCATCACTTTTGTCCCCATTCCAGACTGCTAAACCCATCAGATGTACATGGCTGTTGTGCATGATGTTCTTAAGTGGCACCTGCTTTCCTTGCACCGAATGAGAGTATGCTAGAGTAATGTTCTTACTTAGCCTTCCTGAACGTTTGGCAGTGCGCATACAAAGAGCAAAAGGTATCTGGTAATTGCTGTTAGCAGTGCACTAGGCGGATCTGAAGTGCAGCTGCGGTTCTGTCAGCCTGCTACAGGTATTAACTGGCTTGCTCAAAGAAAAGCATCGATGTTGAAATAAGTTTCGTATGTGTTTTGCTTTCATAATCGTAGCAAAGTGAAGGTGATGCAGCTTTAAGGAGCTGGTGACTAAATGTGTGACAGCATGCCTCGTCTCCTATGGAAAGGAGCAGAACAGTTCAGTTTTGTATCAGTCTCTCCCCACTACTCAAAACTAACAGAGTTTTCCTTTTATTGCAAATGACATCAAGGGGGGTGGATCTGAGCCCTTCTAATTTCAGGGCAGCCGTGCTCTTTACTGAGGGGGTGATGGGCTGCCCACAGCCGAGGGGGTCCCGTTTGAGTGCTGGGCCCACTGAGCCCACCCGCGGCTGGAACTGCAAGTGGCAAAACTTGGCTTGTTTGTATCGGTTCGGCTCTGGGATGGGGTGGCCCAGCTGTGGTTCTGCCGCACAGAGGTCAAGCACAAACCTTGCTCCCCTCTCAGTTTTGTGGCTGACAATAGGAGGAACATAAAGCACTTTAGCCTTTTGGGTTATCGAATATGAACTTAGGTCTAGAGTGCTCTTTATGGGGTTTAGTGCTGTCATGTCTCAGGGAGGAAGTGATTTTTAGAATACACTTAATATTAAAATATAAAGGGGTTCCCCTTGTGCTTCAGCACGTGTAATGGAATGGGAATTGTAGCACCGTGCTGAGCTAATGAGAAACTCATCTTAGTGTTGTGACGAGTGCTAACTACATCTTCGGTCGATAATTGGAATTATCCTTAGTGTGTTTTTTAGGCAAGATAAAATGGGAAATATTACCGGAATGTAACATGCCACCGGCCAAAATTCCGTGCAGGTAGAGGGTCTGCGTGGATCTGTGTGACAGCAGTAGACTGTGGCTCCTGTGAGCTAAACCATCAGAATATTGCTTTCATCTCACGGCTTAGTAGCCCGTGTTGAACTCTCTGGTGGTCTAAAGATACCTTTTTATTGGCATTTGAGTTATTGGTATTTTAACTGACTGATGCCATCAGCCTCCAGGCAGTGCCAGCCTGGGAGACACCTACTTAAACAGGACCCAGCGGTCACCTGGATCTGCAGCACACGGAGGCGATTGCTTCAGCTGAAAGCTGCTGAAGTTGTGTTTATGCTGGGACCGGACTGGGAACACTCCTGCTGCCCGTTTATCGCCCCGGTTCCAAGCCCCATCCTCCTCCTGTGCCTGTGAGGGAGCAACATACAAACCAGACACACAGACGCTGGTGCAAATGGCTGCATGTGCAGAGCGGTGCATATTTGAGCAATGGAGATGAGCATGCAAGCGAGTGCTGTCGTGGTTGTTTGTCTGCCAGAACTAACAGCAAAAACCGTTTTGTGTTGGAGTGGGGCTTTGGCATTGATTAAAAGTTTTGAAGATTGAAGTAAAAGACAGTTTTAAAAGTTATTCCTCCATAAGAATTCCTTTTTATTTAGGTATTATTGAATCTTTATGTTCCTGCTATGGATCAAACCTCTGTTGGTATAGAAGGGTGTCTTGTCAGAGGTTTATTGCAGGACGCTTACGTGGCCTCAGCCAGAGACTCGGATCTGACTAACCCTGAATTCGGCTGGATCTGTGATTTTTTTATTATTATTTTTTTTTCCTCCTTCGCTAATCATTTTTAAATGCAAGATCCACCCTCCTTAACCTCAGAAGGGCTGGTTAAAGGGCCCCAGTACTGTTTTGTTTCTGCATCCAAAATTCTTGCTTGTTTAGATCTGTTCCCTGAAAGCACCAGTGCCGCGTTCTTCCACCAGTGCATGGAAGGTTCCTCTTGCAGACCAGACTGGTTTGGAAAACCAGCAGGATTCTTGGCTTAGGCCTGAGCTTACTTTTATTAGTGAGCCTTGATGATCCTGACGGCCTCGGTAAAACCCCAGGAGCCAGCGCTCTGGATGAAATCCTGCCCTGCCCGTAACAAAGCCCATGATCTAAATGAAAGATTCAGCTCCTGCGAGGAAAGGGGAAGTGCTGGAACAGTTTAGTTAAGCGGTAGAAACTTAAGATGTAGACAGTTCGAAAGGTATTTGATCTTTGTAAGTTGTTGTCGTTTGTGCCAATAAGCCAGGCTTAAACACGACTAAACGTGTCCACGGAGAGGTTTGTAGCAGCGTATCTTAATTTAACGTCTTTGTTTCGACAACCCCTGCTTTCATGGCAGTGACTCCTGAGTAGCTTTGCATCCTCTGCTGCAAGGCTCAGACATTCTCAGGGAGGAACGCTGGTATTTTGTTTTGTCCTAACTATTGCTAGTTCCCCATTGGAACGGGTGAGCTGGGTTCATTCATCACCTTTATTGCACGGTGTGGAAGAACCCGAATGCGGGTGGTGGTTCCCAGGAACCCGGCCATTTTATAGCAACAATCTTCTGCCACGATGTAGCGGTCGCAAGGTACTGTATGTATTTGAATTTTCAATGTCTTTTCATTCTACAGGAGTGATTTCTAGTCTTGTTTTCTTCTCTGCAGGCTTGAAGACCATTGTGGGTGCCCTAATTCAGTCTGTGAAGAAGCTGTCAGATGTAATGATCTTGACAGTATTTTGTCTCAGTGTCTTTGCTCTGATCGGGTTGCAGCTGTTTATGGGCAATTTAAGGAACAAGTGTGTGATATGGCCAATTAATGTGAATGAGACTTTCCTGGATAACGGCTCTAGGGGCTTTGACTGGGAGGAATACACCAACAATATGTGTAGGTATTTCTGCAGTGATACTCCCTAAAACCTTCTTGTTTGGCTTAATGCTGCTGACCAGGATTTCTGACACGGCTTATAATGTGGTGTGTCCAGCTTTGCGCAGTAAAAAGCCCTCACTCAGGTATTTTTCAGTTTTGAGAAACCTGGCCTTGTTAAGGGGTTTCCAGTTGGGTTCATCCTTTGGAAGGTCTCGGCTGTGCTCTTTTAGCTAAAGATTTTGTCCAAAATGCATTTTTTTTTTCCTGTTTTGTTTCCGATTAAAAACTGTTTTACTGTGGTAAATGGGAAGTGACTCTGCCCATTGAAATCCCCGGGCTGGATGTCAGGTCCTTCCCTTAGTTTTCCTGAGCTCTTCAGAGAACACCCATGAAGTTGCTGGTCCCCGTTTCTGCTTCGCAGCATCCTTCCCCGCCGGCAGGATTTCAGAGCTGTAAGTGATGCTGCGGATGATCCAGGAACCAGCCTCCAAGTTTTTGTCACTTGATTTCTTCCTCCCTTCTCCCTTTGAGCTTCTCTACTGTGCGGTCAGCTAGTTTTAAATCTTTATTAAAAGTGCTGTGCTGACTTCCAGAAAGGTGTTTAAACTCCGGCACGGTTAGTGGGGCCAGTGTTATTTAGAGCTGAGTTAGTTTACTGATAAATTTATCAGTAGGGGATCTAGAAGGCTCTTCAGGGAAGGTTTTTATAGTGCTATAGGATGTGAAATCCTCTAACTCCATATGTGTGTGCATGTAATCTTTTCTTTTTCGTCTTCTTCAGCAAATTTTTACATAATTCCTGGCGCCCCTGATCCTTTGCTCTGTGGTAACAGCTCAGATGCAGGGTGAGTGTTGAGCTTTATTAAAAGTAGGGACTCTAATTACCACTGATGTTGGCTAATGATGGTAAAACCTTTGGAATATCTCCTGTTGCTTCCTTTGTTGGTTCTGGGGTTATTTCATATGTAAAAGGTTTCACGATTCTTAATCCAATTTTTAATCCATTGTCACTATCTGTTTGACTAACACAACGTAAGCTGGCATTTCTCCTGTCACCTCAGGGGGCAGCCACGTCTAATGGTGGTTACTAATGGTGTTATTTCCCTCTGAATCCACTCATAAGAATCGTCAGAGAAGTAGGGGATGGAGGTTCAGAAATGGAAACTTGCCATGTGCTATTGCCTCCAGCTGGTTTTTCACCCAGTCCTGCAGCTCCTCTGGCGAGAGCTCGTCCTTTCGGCTCACGTCAGGTGAAAAGCCCCACGTTGCCGCGTCTTGTTTCCGTAGGACGGTGCTAACAGGGCTTTTCTGAAATCCTGACTGTCGTCTCCTTGTCTGCTTTTCTGACTTGACACGGAGAGCAAAACGCACGCCGTCTCTTAGGGGAGTTGTGAAAATCTCCGTAAGCAGGGGTGATGGGCATGCTGTCAGCTTGCTCTGTGCCTTTTGCCGCCGTGGTGCCCTGAAATGGCTCTTGTCTTCTTCGCAGTCAATGTCCGGAGGGTTACACGTGCATGAAAGCAGGACGGAACCCGAACTACGGTTACACAAGCTTTGACACTTTCAGCTGGGCTTTTCTGGCTTTATTTCGCCTTATGACTCAGGACTTTTGGGAAAACTTGTATCAATTAGTAAGTAAACGCTTTCCTTCGGTGTTATGCAAGATGGGAGTTTGGGGGCAATACGGGAAAGGCCAACGTGACAAGCTTTACTGTGTTGCTTCTCTCGGGAAGAATAACTACCAGTAAAGCTGCACAACATGCTGTTGTGTGTCGAGGAGGAAGGGGACGTGACCTGTGAGCAGGTGTGGTGCTTTGAAGTCCAGAAGGGACGGTGGGTCCTCAGCGTGCGTACAGCTGGACTGTGAATCAGCTCTGGAAGGACCTGCCCGCCTGCTGCAGAAGGCGGTGAGCTGTTCAGCTCTGCTCCCAGAAGGCGCTCAGGCGCTTCGGAGGGCAGAGTGTTTCCTTGTAACCCGAGGATGGTTTGGGGACCTTGCTGAAAGGGCTTTTCTTCTATTTGCTTTTGTTTTAAGGGAGTCTAAGCATTGAGTTTCACGCTGTACTTTGGAATCATTTTCATTTTGCATCCGTTGGATGTTCCCTTAAGAGGAGAGGAGGGATGTCACCTTTAGTGTTTATGGGTAATGAATGTGCAGCGTCTTAGTGCTTTGCAGTGGAAGTGCTGAGGTGGTAAATATGCAGCACCACTGGAGTTTCTTAGAAGCATTCAGGCCGAGAAACTTGGGATCAGTTCACGTATCGGGTGTCACTCTGAAATTGCTTTCTCCTTTCCTTTTCTGTCTACCCTTCTTTTCTACTTCCAGACCTTACGAGCAGCAGGAAAAACCTACATGATCTTCTTTGTCTTGGTGATCTTTGTGGGATCGTTCTATCTGGTTAATCTAATTTTGGCTGTGGTAGCGATGGCTTATGAAGAGCAGAACCAGGCCACGTTGGAGGAGGCAGAGCAGAAGGAGGCAGAATTTAAGGCCATGTTAGAACAATTGAAAAAGCAACAGGAAGAAGCACAGGTGAGTGTTTTGATTGTATATTTTTTGTTGTGTTTACATATTTTAAGATTTCTTTGCCTGTTATTACAGAGCAGGGATGTACATCTTTGTTGGTCCTTTATCAAATGCTTATAAGCAAAGCAAAGCTGAGGGACTGAGATAGATTTCACTACCTGCAAAAGTACACTGTAAAAGTTTTTACAAGTCCTGGCTGCAAGTTTCTTCCAAGAGAAATAATAAGCATCTCAGTCCTGCCCCAAAGATTGGTACTTACCTGCATTAAGCCACACTCGTTCTTGAAGCAGAAGATGGAGTATAATTAAGATCTGATTTATTTTTCCCTTCTCTTGCCTACACCTTCAGGCTGCTGCTATGGTCACTTCGGCAGGGACAGTCTCGGAAGATGCTGTGGAAGATGATGGTGGGGGGAGGATGTCTCGGAGCTCTTCGGAGATTTCCAAACTCAGTTCCAAGAGCGCCAAGGAGCGTCGAAACAGGAGGAAAAAACGAAAGGACAAGGAGCTGTCAGAAGGAGACGAGAAGTGTGACAATGAAAAGGTGTTCAAGTCTGAATCTGAGGATGGCATGAGGAGGAAAGCATTCAGGCTACCAGATAACAGGCTAGGAAGGAAGTTTTCCATCATGAACCAGGTAGTTTTCGTTTCCTTCACTAATGTTTGTGCTTGCTTGTAGTCAGGATAATGTTCTAGCTTAGATCCTGATTAGCATGTCAAAGGAATGTGCCCTCCACCTTAAACTTGCAGTGGATCAGGAGGACACTTAGGGCCCAAATTTCCAGCCCTTGCACACACTAACCCTGGCATAAATTGTTCTGGAGAGCAGCGAATCCGTCCCAGTAACTTCCTCACCGACGTAGCTCAGCCAGCCAGGAGTGAACAGTGCCTAAAGCAGCGCTGGCGGCTAAGTGGTGGTGGTCTGTGTAGACGTGGAGAGGGAGCGAAACCACTTTAGCAGCACTTGATGGCTCTGCGGTGCTTTGTTTCCATGCTATTCACGCTCTTGTCGTTCTTTCTTTTCTCCCTCCTAGTCTCTCCTCAGCATCCCAGGCTCCCCTTTTCTCTCCCGACACAACAGCAAGAGCAGCATCTTCAGCTACAAAGGGCGATTTCGCGACCCAGGCTCAGAGAACGAGTTTGCCGATGACGAGCACAGCACCGTGGAGGAAAGCGAAGGCAGGAGAGACTCCCTCTTCATCCCCATCCGCGGTCGTGATCGAAGGAGCAGCTACAGCGCCCACAACACGGC